AATAAATTGGTGACAATAAAATTGATATTTTTCACAAAAAGTATTGTCGCTAAAAATCCCGATTTTCAAATATTTTACTGTTGTGTGTAAAACATAGGCCAATTGATACAAATATTTTTTTGCGCGATTTTGCCTAAAAAACCACATTTTAAAAATATTAAATAATATAATTAGTATTTAATAATGATGAATGTAATAAGTAATGTATGTGTGATGTTTGTGAGTTGTTATGTGTTGTTGATATGTGGTGTGTGTATAGTTTCTTGTTTTTGTTTATTATTTCTTTCTCATCATATTCTACGTTTGTCTTGTAGTCTTTTGGTTTCACTATTCTCCATTTCTTGGCGGCCTTCGCACGCGTGTCAGCAATAAGACGCGTGTTGGGAAAAACCAACAAGAAGATTAACACGAAAGACATCGTGAGTACAGTAGAAGAAAACAACACTTTATTCATTGCTAACAAATTAACATTAATTCACTTACAAACACATTCAATACATCACGTTCTAATTTAGCAATATTCTTGGTTATAATACTGAGATATGATTTTTTATTTACAACTGGTTGAGAAATATTTTCCGCTCAGTAGGGGAGACAATCTTGACCATTATTATTTGTTTTATTAATACAACAAAAATAAACCACAATCCATTACTACATATTTATCAATTTTATTACCATTAATATTAATACAGTACAGGTGCTGTATTATCCTATAATTATTAATTTCATAATACTTATTACCATCATCATTAATTCAGGTACCTACTTCATTCTTGCATTGCCATATTATTGTTTTTTTTTTATTATCATTAACAATATGAATAATAATTATTATCAAAATTATTATTATCATCAATATTATTATTATGATTATTATAATATTACTGAAGTATCACTATTATTACCGGTAGGCGTTAATAAATTATGGTAGTTATAAATTATTTCAGGTACTTTTACGTTTGCGTAATATTTGTTAATTGATATTCTTGTGTTGTGCGTGTTCAACAAACTTGACGTTGATTATCATTTCATTGCAGTATGGACGCACACCACTACATTGGTGTCTATGGAATCAGTGGCTGACGCACGAGCAACACAAGGAAGTCGCAATTCTCAATATCACCTTTGGCGCGTCGGTGACAATAAAAGATAATGTAATGTACAGAAAAATGAAATGCATCAAAAGAATATCAGTCAATGACCTTAATACAACAACTGTATATGAAACTACTTGAAACATTTTTACTAATTAAAACCAACATAATAAATATAAATTCAAACAAAATTAAATCGAAAACAAAAAATTCATACCAGTAATAATGTTGATTTTTAACAAGTTTTATAAGAATGAGTTTAATAATGTTTATTATCAATTAATTGGATGGTAATTTACAACATAATTAGAATGTCGTGATGATAACATTGTCGAGTGTTCGTTAGATATATTATTTTTATTATTATCTTTGAGTATTTAACCAAACTATATCACTGTTTTCTGTTTATTTGGTTTTCAATTGTCTTGCAATGAAATGAATCATCGCGTGCTCGTGTCTGTTATTGCAGGAAGGAAAGACGCCTCTTGATTTGTATGATGAAAACGAATGTAAAGGATACGAAGAAACCACGAGAAGTGAAAAGAAACTAGATTTAAAAGAATTACTTGAAAGTACGTTGATTGACTTATTAAATATCTGTGGAATCAAATCTTTAAACTCTATTTAAAACAGTACTTATCATACACCCGTATTACGTTTGACATTTATTTTTTTTAATTTGAAATTCTACACAATTAATTTACTATTTCCACATTTTGATTATCGTAAAAAGGTTTATTTCATCGTAAATAATCAAAAATATAATTAAAAAATAAAATACTAAATATTGTTGTTATGTTTGTATATAAATTAGAACTATCAACTCCATCAGAGATTTTAGCCAGGGGTCCCGATGCCGTCAAAGCATTCAAAGATGCACTTTAAAACGGTGAAATAACAGTTGTTAATTCAAGACTGATGTTTCTTGGTCAAGAGGGTTCCGGGAAAACCTCTTGTGTTAAAGCCATGCTGGGAAAAGTGTAAGTACAACAAAATGCCTTGTATTAATTCTATAAAATTGTATTTTTATATTATATGGATCGTTATTTTCCTTGCCTTCCTTTTTAATCGGTTTCAATATTTTTACGTGCAGTACAGTCCGTGTGTTTTCTACTGCAATTTAACTTTCAATATTCTTTGCTTTTTGTCGTGCACGCGCTTGTCTGCTGCGCGTCCGTTTACTTGTAACTTTCTGAAGTAAGCTTGTTGCTATGCAACGAGTTCATTGTAGGATGGAACGGAATGGGAATGAATTAGATTTCTGATTGAAAAATATTTTTTCGTTTTCTT